CAAACCGAGATCGAGCAAGATATGGTGGACAAACCCCGAAAATTAATTCTACAAGAAGTACACTCTGCAAATGGATTATGGGAATGACGAATTTGGGCCCTCCAAATTGTATGAGACATTGTCACTGAATCTGCTCTTCAACAGATCCCTAGGCACACCCTCTTCGGAATTGTACTGCCATTTAAGACTGTGGCGTTGTGCGAATTTGCATTCTGGTGCCACGAAGACGAATGGTCCGAGGATGCAGCCTCAGACCGGACTGGCAGCACATCGACGCTTTTCGCCTTCCAAAGGTCGCTGACGAGACGACCCTCAAACCATTCGATATCAACTCACAGTCAAGCAGTTCCGGGGGACGGTTGTATGAGCACCCTGAAGAGCCAGAGGATTTCACTCATCCAGCTTCAGAAGAAGGAAAACGCAAAACATTTGATCGCCCGGTTGGTGTCCACGCAACTGGTTCCCTTTTGTGTCGCTTCGTTGCGACAAACTCTTCGAGGACGCTGAGTCCGACGATAGCCAAGAGGGGCAATAACGACACAGCGATGCAAACGGGTTGGATGATCTCATGTTGGTTAGGTCTGAGCAGACGTGATGACAGGTACACGGTTCGAATCATGCCCGGTGTGCTAGTGGTGTGTGTGTAAGCCGGCGAGAACCTGTCGTCTGGTCCAGCTGAATAGGTTTATTTGGAAGAATCCAATCTCTTCGCCAGTTGCTTGTGAACACCGTTTGTCCCAGAAGTGAATGCAATATCATAGAAAAATAATTTCAACACTTCAACCAACTGATCTCCGATACTCCCAACTACCAGTCAAATCTCATTCTGATGACCAAGCCGACTGCCAATGCGACTGTGTTAAGGTATCGTCAGCGCTCACAGCAAAAGTATAATCTGGAAGGTATGCGTTCATGAAGGGCACAAGTAGCCCATTGATGACATCTTCCCGGACGAATCGAAAAGAGAGTTCCTGATCTAGTTCCCTAACTTAATCATCTGCTCCAAACATTCTTCGCAAATTTTTACTGAAGCCTAACAGTTATTCTAATTTGATACTACTTGTATTTGTGAGTACTATCTTCTATTTCATAATTCGGCCATTTTCATTATTGGGCTTTTGAGAGAGAGATTGTCGACGTAAATCTGAGCCACGCAAAAGACGTGGTCCTCCTTCCTCGTAATCCCAATTTCAAAGCCAACAAAGTTTATTTTCCGTCTAGCCTGCTGACATAGAAGCTAACAAGGATTGTACAGCATGGTTCAAACTTATGTACGCCGGTTAAATGGCCTCTTTCAGCTCTACCTCCATCCTTCCACATAATTCTGTATCGGAATCCCCGATGTCAAGGCATAGGCGCACAGCAGATACTTTTGAGGGCCGGTTTTTGTCCCAGCATCCCTTAGAGTATCCAAACCATACGCTACGATGACAACTTTGTATTTCAAAAGAAAATTTTGTTGGAAAGAATTCGTGAAATGGTCTCATCGCAAACCAAAGTAGGATTGCTTCTGAATGGGTCAAGTGTTGGAATGTTCAATGAAGCCATCGACTCATAAACACGCCACTCCGATAAGCCGGAGCTAGAGTTTCGTCTATACCATTGCGAAAGACATCGTCAGAGCAAGGATTCATACATATGAGATGAATTCACGCCATTTCGTCTGAGATTATAAGGTGAGTGGCAGCTGAATTTCCCCACAAGCATATGAGTACACCTTGCGTTCACAGAAGGTATTCTCATCCAAACTGAAGTGGACTGCAGTTTCAACCTCGCCTGAGCTTTTCTGGGCAAGCAAGGTTATGTTAAATTCAATGGAAACGTAAAGTCTGCTCATATGATTGTGGAAGAATTCAACTACAAGTCCCCTTATCACCTGAAATGAAATTGGGGAAATAAACTTCATATTAAAGTGATCTACTGGTAATGTCGAAAACCTGCAAGAATCTACACTTCGCAAAGTATGCACTTTTGCCCTGACTATGACTGTCATGGTGGTACAGACGAAGGCTTGACACAGGTTCATCGGAGTGGCATGATGAGGAGGCGAGGACTTCTTGGCCCAATCCAATAATCTTCACTCAACTCAGCGCCACTCCCCCATCGGTTTCCGACGAGACTGTTTTACGAATCCTTTTCAATCACATTTTTATTGGAAATGCAAATTCATACCCCAATATACCGTATTTCCCCATGTATAAGCCACCCTTTTTTCCAAAATTTCCAAGCCCCAAAAGTAGGGGGGTGGCATATATAAAGCAGGTAAACGTTTTATGCGTTAAAAATGCATAAAATAATAAAGTAGGAATCAACTGATTTTTCAGCTCCGTCGAACCCTCTTTTGTTTTTTGTTTTTGTTTTCGTGCCACTTGCAAGCATTGTACACAGTAATGGTTACTGTGTTATTTTCGAAACTGCAAAATGGCTGAACAAATGAAGAGACACGCCTACACTGGAAGCTTTTAGTTAAAAGTCATTAAGTTTGCCAAAGAATTTGGCAATCATGCAGCTGAGCGGGAATTCGGACCTCGACTAGATCGGAGGGCAATCATCAGATGGAGGAAGGAGGAAGGAGGAAGAGAAGCTTCGGAAA